TGTTACTTTAACTGTTAAAATTGCTTCTGAGGTGGTTTTCTAGGATCTGTCCAGTCTTGCCCCATCAAATCCACCCTCTACATAGCTGCCAGGGTGAGCTTTGTAAAACATAAATTTGACCATGTTTTTCTCCTACTTAAAGAGAGTCAGTATTTTTTCAGAAAAACAATTCAAACTCTTTAGTCTACTTAAGCAAGGCCTTTATAATCGGACTCTCCTTTACAAGCTTATGTCAAACTGAACTACATTGCAAGATGCATTTTATGTGAATTGAACTAGGTGGAATCAGCTAATGTAATATAGAAATGGTAGTCTCACTTTTTTTTAATTGTTTAAGTTTTATTTTATTTTATTTTATTATTTTTTTTTTAAATATTTTTATTTATTTCTAGGAGAGAGAGAGACAGCGTGAGCAGGGCAGGGTCAGAGAGAGAGGGAGTCACAGACTGAAACAGGCTCCAGGCTCTGAGCTGGCAGTCAGCACAGAGCCTGACGTGGGGCTCGAACCCACGAACCGTGAGATCATGACCTAAGCGAAAGTCGGACGCTTAACCGACTAAGCCACCCAGGCACCCCAAGTTTTATTTTATTTTGAGAGAGACAGAGATAGCTCAAGTTGGGGAGGGGCAGAGAGAGAGGGAGGGAGAGAATCTCAAGTGGACTCCAGGCTGCTGGCACAGAGCCCGATCTGAGGCCTGAACTCACGAAACCATGAGTGAAACCGTGAAATGATGACCTGAGCTGAAACCAAGAATCGGACACTTAACTGACTGAGACACCCAGGCGGCCCAGTAACAGCCTCACTTTATAGGCAAAATGGAAATATGTGAACTCCTCAAAATTAGTTTATCTAGAATGATGTAATTTCAAAGCTGGTAGGCCAAGTGAGTCATGAGCTGTTAACACTCAAGCTGTTAACTTGATGAAATTATCTGCTTCCATGTTGTTATCATATAAGCTAGGTTACTCTTGAGACATAACGGTTATTGTTATGCTATTTTTAAATTCACTATTTATGCCATATTTAAATTCACAATTCATTGCTGGGCCGCCTGGGTGGCTCAGTTGGTTGAGCATCCAACTCTGGCTCAGGTCACAATCTCACAGTTCTTGAGTTTGAGCCCCATGTTGGGCTCTGTGCTGACAGCTTGGAGCCTGGAGCCTGTTTGGATTCTGTGTCTCCCTCTCTCTCTGCCCCTCCCCTCCTCGCACTCTGTCTCTGTCTCTCAAAAATAAATAAACATTTTTAAAAATTTAAATGTTCACTACTATCATAATTTTAAATATTTTTATATTTGATAGTAATGTCATCAAAGAGCTGAGAGGTATTATTACTGCTTGTGCTGAAAAACACCTCCAAATAAATATTTTCCCAAAAAGTTGAAAAAACAGATGCCAGAAAAGAATGATAAAAAGGCCAAAGTACCGCCATAATAGAATGTGTGGAGAGAGTGCTATGCAAAGCATTAGCTATAATGCTGAGAAAGTTAAAACAAAGAAAGAAAGCAAGAATACACTCTGGTTGTTGTAGATTTATGTACTCTGAGGATATCTCTTTACATGCTTTTACATTTACTCCCAAGGAACAGTTAATCTTGAACTATGTGAGATCTTCAGAAATGTTTTCTTCCTACCCAATGGGACTGCATTTGCATTAACTGCAGTAAAAGTGATGAGGCTCCAACAAGCAAGATTTTCTCAAAATTCCCTGCTTCTGGCTTTTGCTCATGCTCTTCCCTCTTTGTGGAAAGCTCTTCCCCTGGCCTTGAAAATGCCTGTCTCTCTTTCAAGGCAGCACGATTATCACTTCCTCTAAGAAGTCTTCTTCAACGCCACCAGGCAGAAAGAGAGGATCCCTTGTAAATCCAGCTCTGAACAGCATTCATTATACTATTTCGTAATTGTTTATATATTTGTCTCTCACTAGACTCTGAGTAATTGGAGGGTAAGTATTGTGTTTTTCAGCTTTCTAGCTTCATGACTGATATGTAGTGCATGCTCAATAATTAACTGATGTATGATTTCAAATATTGTGTAATATTATTATTTTTAAGGTTACCATGTCCTCTAAACCCATTCACTCACTGACTAAATAAATACTCACGGGAGTAAACACTAGTAGTTTCATCCAATTCTTGCATATACTATTTAGGGCTTTTCAAATACATTATTTTCTAAAAATATGAATGCATTACATAACGTTAAAGCTTGTAGAGAAGACCACCTTGCCATTATTTCATACATACGAAATTATATAAATATATGCTTGTATATTATATATCTACATAAATTTGATAACTATCCACATTTGTACGTGTATAAGGAACTGAACCTAGATAGAACTGTTCAGTAGCCACAACTGACAAATGGTTAACTTAATTTGGATTAAGTTTTTTAACTGGGTTTTAATTTCTGGCTTCTTCTACCACATATGTTTAGCCTCAGCAGACCATGTCAGAAAAAAATTTGAGTCAGTTCTCTACCTCTGAGCTTTGACTTAAATACTCCTCTGTATGCCAAAGACAACTGTGAACCAGCCACCTGCCTTAGAGCCTCAACCATAACTACCCTCAGGAACCCAATGTACTGGTAAACTCTGCAGTCGGGCCTCTTAATCATTTCTGTGGTACGGACTCTCACAGACAATCTGGTTAAGTCTGTGAACCACTTCTCAAAATAATGTGTTTACATGCATAACACTAAATACTTCACGGCTCAGTCAGTTAAACGTTTGACTTCAGCTCAGGTCATGATTTCATGGTTCGTGAGTTCAAGCCCCATGTTGTGCTCTGTGCTTGACAGCTGGGAACCTGGAGCCTGCTTCAGATTCTGTGTCTCTCTCTCTCTTGCCCCTCATGCTCTCATGCCCCTACTCATGCTCTGTCTCTCTCTGTCTCTCTCTCTCTCTCAAAAATATTTAAAAAATTATCTTAAATACTTAGGCTTATAAAGCAAACCTATTATATTAAAATAGGGTTATCAAAGGGCATCTGGGTGGCTCAGTCGGTTGAGCGTCTGCCTTCAGCTCAGGTCATGATCTCGCAGCTCATGAGTTCAAGCCCCACGTCGGGCTGTGTGCTAACAAAAGACTCAGAGCCTCTAATCTGCTTCGGATTCTGTGTCTTCCTCTCTCTCCCACCCCCTCCCCTGCTCATTCTCTCTCTCTGTCTGTCAAAAATAAATAAATGTTAAACAAAAATTTTTAATAAAGTAAAATAAAATAGGGTTATCAAAAAAAATTTTTTTAACAAATCTTGATATAGTATATATATGTGTGTCTTTACCAACACATAAATAACAAAATCTGGGGCACCTGGGTGCTCAGTCAGTTTTGAGTATTGGCTTTGGCTCAGGTCATGATCTCATGGTTTGTGAATTCAAGCTCCACATCAGGCTCTCTGTTGTCAGCACAGAGCCTGCTTTGGATCGTCTCTCCCTCTTTCTCTGCCCCTCCCCCACTTTCTCCCTCTCTCAAAAATAAATAAACACTTAAAAACTTAAAAAATATATACTGGTGTTACTAATAACTTTTGTATATTTCAAAGTAGTGAAGAGTTTAAACCCTGCTTCAAGATCTCTACAACAATTATAACACTGAAGGAAACATGTATTTCTATTACTGACATTAGAGATAGTGCTGATAATACATACTGTGGTTTCCTATACCACTATAAGGGAAGGAACCACTAAATTTCAGTTAGAAGTTGGGGAAAATAGGGACGCCTGGGTGGCTCAGTCAGTTAAGTGTCCGACTTGAGCTCGGGTCATGATCTCTAGGTCCATGACTTCCTGCCCCATGTCGGGCTCTGTGCTGACAGCTCAGAGCCTGGAGGCTGCTTCAGATTCTGTGTCTTTGTCTCTCTCTGCCCCTCCTCTGCTCGCACTCTGTCTCCCTCTCTTTCAAAAATAAATAAACATTAAAAAAATTTAGAAGTTGGTGAAAATAAATATGTGAATTTTTTCCCACCTAAGTTCACAAATTTCTCAGATATAGAAACCCAGACAAAGGTCTGGAAGGACACACACAATATTGGAGTGGGGTGGAATAGGGTGGGGCAGAGGAGAAAAGCAAAAAGAAGAAGTTTGAACTTTTAAAAATCCTGTATTATTTGTTTTTCTTTGTTTTTTTTTTAAATATTTTTATTTATTTCTAGGAGAGAGAGAGACAGCGTGAGCAGGGGAGGGTCAGAGAGAGAGGGAGTCACAGGCTGAAACAGGCTCCAGGCTCCGAGCTGGCAGTCAGCACAGAGCCCAATGCGGGGCTCGAACCCACGAACCGCGAGATCGTGACCTAAGCGAAAGTCGGATGCTTAACTGACTAAGCCACCCAGGCGCCCCTTTCTTTGTTTGTTTTTACAGAAACACTGTATTTATGTATTAATTGTGTAGAAAACATAGGATAACCCAAACTTCAGATCAAAAGCTCTGGCTGCTCAAGGAGAAAAAGGGCCATCAGATGCCAGAGCCCTGCAGAGTCCTCATACACTGCCCTCCCTCCCAGGCAGAAACACTATTTTTACCATTGCCTCACCTTTGGCACTTTGACAATGAAGTCACAAAGCTTCAGTCTCCCATGCACGTGAACCCATTGGTTGTAAGACAGAGATAGAGCCAATCCATAGTTGCGTGACAAGCATCCTATATGTATATTGATAATATATTTCCTCCAAGATACTAGGACAATATTTCAGTTCAGTAGTGGGCCACTTATCCATCCTTTAAAACACTGTCTTATGAGAAGATGCTTTCTAGATTCCAAACATCTGTTGGTTTACAAGAGAACATTTGAACATGTGTACTCATAAGCTGAAGACCCAAGCGTTTATTAAATGTCCTAAGTGTTCATCAGCATACTGGGTGATACACTGGCTTCTGAATTTGTAGGTGTAGTATAAGGCAGTAAGCAGAGTTCAAGCCCCACACTGGGCTCTCTGCTGTCAGCAGAGGTGTAAATGGAAAAAAACATTGCCTTTTCACAAAGGACTCTTTGCTTTCATTAGGAATAAAGATGGCTGTTATACCAGTAGAAGATGACTGCATCAACTTTGTGGGAATGAAGTTTATTAACAATACACTCTACTTTGTAGGTAAGTCTAAAGCAATAGGTCAGATAAGGGTTCAGATAAATGTATTCATTTAGAAAAGATGTTGTGAGATAAACTATGAAGTGCCTCTTTTTTGTCACCAAATTCTGTTGTAATACCAATGACACTCCTCTCCGGAAAAAACAAAACAAAACAAAACAAAACTGGGCCTCTAGAAATTAACCAAAATATGTCCAATGTCCTAACACCTTGTCTAACCACGTGTCCTGGCACTTTAGCTAGCAGGAGCCAATCTATAATGTGGCTGCAGGTGCACCTGATGAAATCGCACAAAATTGGGTACACGCAGGGAAAATAATTTCCCACAACAAACTGGTAAATCATATCAGAAATACCTTATATATAGAGTTCCATTAGTGGGGTATGCCAGTTTATGTAAACATACTTGACAAATAAAAACAGATTCTAATGATTCATCTGTGGGCAGTTTGGATCCATTTGAAAGTTTGGCTTCACTTGAAAGCTTCACAGAAAGTCCCTAGATGGCTGTCCATTGAAACCATAAACTTAAGAGTCTATCTATCACTTTACAAAATTTCCTTTTAGGTAAAGATTTAAATTTGTAAAGCCTGGATTTGAGTTTTATATCTAATTTAGCTGAGACCGCACTAAGTCTAATGAGCTCCGTTTTATGGGACTTAGGGCATGATTATATAAAATTTCTGATGGAGGCCCACAAAGGCCATCACTGGTAAATTAGTAGTTAAATATTGGGGAGTAACAGAAGAGTCATAAAATTGTAGGGCAAGAGAAGATTCCTAATTGAAATATAGAGTTTAACATATTTTGTTTTTCTTTTTTTCCCTTTAGGTGACGATGATGGTAAAGTATAAATTTATTTCCCTTTCTTTGCAAAATAAGTAGCTATTTGAGTAAGCATCTCTCAGACACACCCATGTCCTCATTCTCAACTGAGAGAAACTGGTACCAGTCTATTTGAGAAACTAATCTTCCTTCAGAGGAATGTGGGTGCAAAATGACAGCCTTGGAATAAAGATGACCATAAGAGATACAGAGAAGAACCTCTAACAAAATATGCTTCTCTCTACACCTTAGGGACTTCTCTAACTCTTAGAATCTACAAAATAGACTTTGCTTATTACAGAGATCCAAAGATTATCAGGAGGTCATGGATTCTCTGGAGGAAAAGGGGATTGAAACAAGAGAATTGTCCAAAATCAAGAAAACTTTCCTTCAACCCTCTGTCTCAGAAATGTTTTGGGAAGAAGCCCAGGAGGCTCCCAGGTGGCAGAGATTTTTGGAAATAGAGGAGACACGGGAGGGCAGAGCAAGGAGAATTATGAAGCTGAGTCATTATGTCTTATTAAGATGAGGATGTACCCAGTTCTTGTCCTTCTGGACAAGAGCCATGCCTGGTCTACCATCCTCTAACAGACCCCATGTTATTAAAGGTGATTAGTTTCTCATATTTTTCCTTAAAAATAGCACTTTCCCCATCCTTAAGGTGATCCTTACTGTACTTGAAGTAGAAAATATCAACTTTAAAATACTATTTTCTCATGTGTCTTTTTCCCCCAGCTTGACTGAAATATAACTGACCTATAACTCCTCACATTTCTTAAAGATTGCTTTGCTCTCCATTTATTTAATTCAATAAATATTGGCATCTGTATCCCAGGTGTTATGTTACACAGTAGGATACAGTGGTGAGCAAAACATGGTTTCTCCAGGCAGAAGCAGCCACTGAGGAAGGCGGTTAGAATATGGTATGTTAAGTGTTAGCACAGCATGCTAAGGGAACACAAGGAAATGGCACCTAATTCAGTCCAGTAGATTCTGGGAGGGCACTCTGAAGGAGGGACAGACTTAAAGAGTGAATAGTGGTTAGCGAAAAGTAGGTATTGTGGGCAGGGAGAAGACCTCATGCAAAGGCCAAGATGTAAAAGAAAGCATGGCATGTCTGAACAACTAGAAGTAATTCAGAATGGGATAGGAGAATGAGGAGAGAAGAATGATAAATAGGGTGCAGATAAAGAAGCTTCCTTTATTCCAAGATAGGGAATTTGGATCTTATCTTTGGGATAATGGGGATTCAGTAAGCATAATATGTATGACCTGGGATACAGACCAGTTTGCTGCAACAAAGAGACCCAAAAATACAGTAACTGAATAAGGTAGAAAATGCTTCCATGAAATACAAGTCCAAGTAGGAAGTTTAGGATCAGTATGGCTGGATACCGCGTGATGATGGTGGGATCTCAAGTTTTTTCTCTTGTTATTCTAGTATCTCTAAGTTGTTGAATTCATTCACATACTTGAAAATCATTACCATACTTCCTGGGTCCATATGCCAGCTAGCAAGAAAGGGTTCAAAATAAGAGGAAGACAGCTCCATTCCGTTTAAAGTCTCTGCTTGGTAGTTGGACACATAAACTCCACTCATATTCCACTCATTAGAATTTAGTCATCTGGTCACACCAACTGCACGGAAATCTGGAAAATATAAGTTTTATTCTGGGTCGCTATGTGCCCCGTTAAAATTTAGAGATAACATGGTCTCCTCTCTGAATTTTAACTTTAATTAAAACTGAATTTTAATTTCTCATGGCTTCAGTATAAAGAATTGATGTGGGGACAAAAAAAAAAGGCGGTGATGCCAATTAAGAGGCAATTATTACAGTCCCTGTAAGAAATAATGGTGGCGTGGATTAAGGTAGGCACAGTGGATGCCAATGAAGAGCTGTGCATGGATTTTAGAAATACTTAAAAGAATCAACAGGACACGGTTGGGGCTGGATTTCGAAGTGGGTGGAGAGAAAGACAGAAAAGATGATGCCTACATTTTTTCACTTAGCCAATTTGTACCATTCCGTTAAATGGGAAACACAAGAGGAAAAGCAGGGGAAAGTAGGGTATGTGGCGCCAAGAGGAAGGCATGAATTTAGTTTTGGATCTTATCTGTAGAACATCCTAGTAGAAATGTCCAGTGGACTCTTGGACATAGAGTTCTGAGCTTGGGATGAAAATTTGGGCTGAATATATAAATTTTTTTAATGTTTATTTGTTTTTGAGAAAGAGACAGAGCATGAACTGGGGAGGGACAGAGAGAGGGAGACACAGAATCCAAAGCAGGCTCCAGGCTCTGAGCTGTCAGCACAGAGCCCAACACAGGGCTTGAACTCATGAACGGTGAGATCATGAC